GGCAAAAAAGCCAGAGCCAGCCCTGTACACGTAAAAGGAGAAGGTTCTCCTCATGAGCAGATGACATTATTACTCCATCTGCAACTGAGTATATATTATATCTAAAATCCCAAGGCTTCTCTATCTCTTCAGTCAGAGTACATCTCGCCGCAATTTCTGCCCATCATGTTCCAGTAGAGCAAAAGACGATTTAGCCACTCTGTGGTTAAAAGGATTTTGAAGGATCACATCAATACTTGACCTTCCTTCAGAGACCAGATTCCTATTTGAGATCGTATTCTGGTACTCACCCAATTAATAGGGACTCCTTTCAAGCCCATGGGAAAATATTCTGTATGTTCTCTATCCATCAAAACAGTTTTTATTATAGCCATAACATCAGCTAAGAGTATGTGAGAGCTATGGGCCCTTATGGCTGACCTTCCTTCACAGTGTTTCGCAAAGATGAAGTTGTTTGTATGCCCTCAGTCTAAGTTTTTGCCTAAAGTAATAACTGACTTCCATGTGAGCCAATCAGTTAACCTGTTGGTATTCTTGCTTAGATTTCTCTCTTATCTAGGTTAGGCTAGACTGCACACACAAGAGGAGAAGAGCTTTTGCCTTCTGTTATCTCCAAAGAGGTCAAAAGAACACAGGAAAGATTCTAACTTGTTTGTAACATACAAATGCTAAGTTACCATGCACAGCACCTTTTAAAATGGGTCAGACTCTTCATTGAAGAATCTTATAAGAAAACCAACATGTCTTTGCTAGAGGGTCTTAGGTCTTGGACCAAGACAACATTTATGGGTTGCCTTAGGCCTTGGCTACACTTACCCGGTAGTTCGGCGGCGAGCGATCGAACTTCTGGGTTCGACTTATTGCGTCTAGTCTGGACGCGATAAGTCGAACCCGGAAGTGCTCGCCGTCGACTGCGGTACTCCAGCTCGGCGAGAGGAGTACCGCGGAGTCGACAGGGGAGCCTGCCTGCCGAGTGTGGACCAAGGTAAGTTCGAACTAAGGTACTTCGAACTTCAGCTATGTTATTCACGTAGCTGAAGTTCTGTACCTTAGTTCGAATTAGGGGGTTAGTGTAGACCTGGCCTTAGACACATTCTGTTACAGAAATATATAGGATAGCCATTCAGAGTTCTCCATATACATTCACAAAATATTATTCCCTTGACCTGGCCTCAAAGTCTGATGCAGAGTTTGGCAAAGCAGTACTGGAATCACTGTTTAACTGTTACTCATCTCACCTGTATAGGAGTGGGAATGTGCAGAGGCAACTTGAAGAAGGAATGGAGATTATTTACCAGTAACTGGAGTTCTTTGAGATGGACTTTGCACATTCACACTCCCCCGCCCACTTTCTCTTCTTCCTTGGAAGCCTAGTAATTTAACAAATTTTGTGGAGGCAGTGGAAGGAATTTAGGAGGTTGGTGTGCTCCACCCATTTTCATACCTTCACTTTCTGAGCACTTGGAGCCTTGGGGGAGGGGAGCTGAATGCTCCTGTCAGTGTTCCTTCCCCACTCTGAACTCTGGGGTACAGATGTGAGGATCCGCATGAAAGACCCCCTAAGCTTATATTCCACAAGCTTAGGTTAAAAACTTCCCCAAGTCACAAATTCTTCCTTGCTCTTGGATAGTATGCTGCCACCACCAAGTGAGTTGGAGCTGGTCTACATTGGGGGGGGAATCGATCTAAGATACGCAACTTCAGCTACACGAATAGCGTAGCTGAAGTCGAAATATCTTATATCGAATTTCCTGGGGTCCACACTGCGCGGGATCGACAGCCACGGCTCCCCCGTCAACTGCGCTACCGCTGCTTGCTATGGTGGAGTTCCGGAGGTGAGCGCGTTCGGGGATCGATATATCGCGTCTTAACGAGCCGCGATATAGCAATCCCGGATAAATCGATTGCTACCCGCCGATACGGCAGGTAGTGAAGACGTACCCTTTGACAAAGATTCAGGAAAAGGACCACTTGGAGTTCCTATTTCCCCAAAATATCCTCCCAAGCCCCTTCACGCCCTTTCCTGGGGAGGCTTGAGAATAATATACCAACCGAATAGGTAACCAAGGTGAGCACAGACCAGACCCTTGGGTTTTTAGGACACTAAAAACCCAATCAGATTCTTAAAAACAGAACTTTATTATAAAGAAAAAAGTAAAAGAAGCACCTCTGTAAAATCAGGATGGAAGGTACTTTTACAGGGTAATAAGATTTATAACACAGAGGATTCCCCTCTAGGCAAAACTTTAAAGTTACCAAAAACCAGGAATAAACCTCCCACTTATCATAGGGAAAATTCACAAGCTAAAATAAAAGATAATCTAAGGCATTGCCTGCCTATTACTTACAATTTGTAATCCTAGATGCTTAGTTCGGGTACGGCTTTAGGAGATGTATTTTCCCTGCACTGGTTCCTTGCTGACCCAGAGACAACAGAGACAAAACAAAAACCTTCCCCCACAGATTTGAAACCATCTTCTCCCCTCATTGGTCCTTTTGGTCAGGTGCCAACCAGGTTATTTGAGCTTCTTAACCCTTTACAAGTAAAGGGGGGATTTTATGCTACCCTTAGCTGTATGTTTATGACAGCTCCAATGGGCATTCCTTTCTAGAGACTACTTCTGCAAATTGCAGTGTTAAAAAAGCTGATCTGCATTCTGATAACTCCAGAGCAAAATAAAAATTTAAGCAGACCTTCCAGGTCATATTTTTCTGGATTTATGGACCAATGTAGGTGTTGGTTATATTCACTTATGTTTGGATTTCACTATTGGTGAAAGGCTATAATTAATATTTAATTTCTGGCTGATCTCTCTTCCTTTTGTTTCATTGTATTACTTTTTTCATTTTGAGCTATGTATTTTTATTTGTCTTTTTTTTATTATGTAACAGCTTTATGGTTCCAGTCCCTACTATGGAGTTGATAAAGATATATATGAACAGAGAGATCCTACACCGGTGCCATATACTGACTACCTGGTCAGTGGAGCAATAATAGGAGAGTTGAACTGCCTAACTACCCAAGAAATGGAATATACAGTTATCTGTGAAACTGCTGTTCAGGTCAGTGAATAGGACTTTAAGCTTTATCTGTATCAGAATGTTCTTCTATCTAATAAATCAGAAATTTTTACATTGCTATTTATAATGAAATGATTTAGACCAAAATAGCCCATAGCTCCCATTGACTTCCAAGTTTGAAAATTTTGGCCCTAACTTTAAGAATTAAAGGCCAAAATGTTCTAACCTGGTTAAGTTATGTATATAATTATTAAACCATTCTTAAATCACTGTACAGATTAAGTATACAACATGCAGTGATAGTGAAAATTGCTGGCATGGATAGGTCAAAGTTAGGGGAAAGTTTCAGAAAGGGCCCTGTGAAATCGTGTCCACAGAATGGTTTCTATGGAGGATACCATAATTTCCATCATGGACATTGTCATAAATATAAAGGGAAGGGTAAAAACCTTTATGTATGCAGTAACATAAAATCCTTTCTGGCCAGAGGTACAGAATCCCTTTACCTGTAAGGGGTTAAGAAGCTCAAATAACCTGGTTGGCACCTGACCAAAAGGACCAATAAGGAAAGAAGATACTTTCAAATTGGGGTGGGGGAGAGGTTTTGTTTGTGCTCTCTTTGTTTGTTCCCTCTCTGGATATATATATAGAGAGAGACCAAGCATGTAAACCATCTCTTGAAAAGATACCTGAAAGGATACATCTAACATTACAGAAATTGTAAGTAAAGGCAAGGAAATGCATTAGATTAGCTTTTGTTTTAGCTTGTGAATTTTCCCTCTGCTAAGAGGGAGTTTTCTTCCTGTTTTTTTTTTAACTTTGAAACTAAGCCTAGAGGGGAATCCTCTGTTTTTTAAATCTTTTTATTTATCCTGTAAAGTTACCTTCCATCCTGATTTTGCAGGTGTGGTTCTTTTACTTTTTTTTTAAATAAAATTCTTCTTTTAAGAACCTGATTGGTTTTCAGTGTCCTAAAAACCCAGGGGTTTGGTCTTTGCTCACTTTGTAACCAATTGGTTAGTATATTATTCTCAAGCCACTGCAGGAAAGGGGGTGAAGGGGCTTTGGGGCATATTTTTGGGAAACAGGGACTCCAAATGGCCCTTTTTTCTGGATTTTTTGTCTAAATCACTTGGTGGTGACAGCAATACCGTCCAAAGACAAGGAAAGGATTTGTGCCTTGGGGAAGTTTTAACCTAAGCTGGTAGAAATAAGCTTAGGGGGCCTTTCATGCGGGTCCCCACGTCTGTACCCCAGAGTTCAGAGTGGGGAGGGAACCCTGACAGACATCTAAGGCTTTATCTGGGGTCTTTTGGAGTTGCTGATTTTGTGTTCCTTCCTGTCTGAGGTAATCTACAGTAGTTAACACAGTTTGTGAATACCCCCAAATGGACACCAGGTCAAAGAATATTGACTTGTACTGGAAGTGGTATCCATTGTAGGCAAAGTGAACCCATTTCCTATGTGCAGATACTAGTGGTATACTCAAAGTATGCCTCCTTGAGGTGGATTGATGATATGAAGTCCACTTTTGAGATAACTGCTAAGGTAAACTACATTGTTATGATTTCCCAATTCCTATATTGTCTACTGAATGAGTGAAATAAGTCAGCATAGTGATATATACTAGCAGTGCCCCCCAGACTGTACCATTTTCTGATCGGAAAGGTTATTTCAGATAAAGAGGCAATTTTGGTTGTCATTGCTCAAGTGAAAGAGATAACAGCTGCTGAAGGCTGTAAAACCTCTGAGGTAGCCTCATTGTTCTTGATAACTCTATGTTGGTCATTTAGCAATAAGTCTTCCTCTATCAGGATGGCTATAGGCTTGGCAAATTATCAGCTATGAAAAGGGAGTCCAGGTCTCATCTGATGAATGTTGTAGAATTCCTTAGCCAGCCCTTCCAGCCACTAAAGTACAATTGTTCTAGGCACTATACAAACACAAACTGGTAGCTAATACTTTAAATTTTGCAAAGACATTTAGTTTAAACTTAACATTAAAAGGTCTTTGGAACCTAAGTGGTTGAAAAAAGAACAGGAGTACTTGTGGCACCTTAGAGACTAACAAATTTATTTGAGCATAAGCTTTCGTGGTCTACAGCCCACTTCATCGGATGCAGTGATTGAAAACATTTATGACCTCATCTATAGCTAACAGCAATAAAAATGGTGTGGTATCACTTTTTTGTTGAAATTTCTCATTATCATCAAAGTAAACCAGGAACTGTCTTAGAGTTCTTATCTGAAAAGGTTCCTCTTTTTGTTATTATTATGCATTTGTAAAGCATCCATTGCTGTAATGCCCTATATAATAATGAAAAGCATAATTTTCATTCAAATGGATTGCATTAACATATTATACATGATTGTATTAACTTATAATTATGTAAATTATGATTATTCATTAGTTTTATAGCACTACTAGTATACTAGTGCTCTAAAGACAGGTACAGATCACCAGGAACCTGCCTTAAAAAGTGCATAGTTTGTTTGAATAATTAGTTTGATTAATTAAAAATATAATTTCTTTGTTAAATCATTTAAAAGAGATGTGCTGTTGTAGAAATTAATTTTATTGTGGTTTTATTTCAGACGTGTTTTATTTCTATGGACGACTTGTTTGAAGCGTTTTTACAATACCCATCTTTGGAATATAAAATATGGTTAAAACTTGCTCTTGAGATCACTAGTAAAATTTTCAAGGAAAACCTTGCTTGCCAGGTAAATAATCTACTGTAGCTGTAATAATGACAAAGATATATTCATTTGGAGTCCGATCCTGCTACACAGAGCATTCTGCAGGAAGGATCTTCTGCATGTCAGCCTGCCCACTTTTGCACGAAAGGGAGCTCACCCATCTCACCAGACCCAGTGGAGGATTCTCTAGTAATCCAGGGATCCGTACAAAGAGAGTTCGTGGGCTTGACATTTTTCGGGGTTAGCCGAGCTGTCTGGGGTGAATCGCTACCACCTGCTCACAGCAGGAGGGAATTTTGTCTGTGCTTGCCAAGGGAAACCCTTGCCAACTACCAGCTAGTTGGCAACACAAGTTCTGCTCGAGGGTCTACAAGCCCCACTCTTTCCCAATACAGGCTAGCAATTTACACACCCCAGTTTGTTACACTCAAGGGCTTAGTACTTATATGCTAGAGACCCACCATGTACACCAATCCACTAACTCTGAGGAAGCAGTGCACCCCGGTTCACAGGTTTCATCTCAGTCTATAATAAAATCAAACTGATGTTTATTTAACAGAACTTGAGATAGAAATTCAAATAAAAGCAAGTATAAGGGTTTGGAAACATAAGGTTACAGGTAAAATAAAAAACATAAAACACAATCTATAGTGTATATTTATTAATAAGAAAACTGAGGAAATTCCAAAGGACTGCCAGCATAGTTCCAATATTTAAGTAGGTAAATGAGATGATCCGGGAACTATCGACTTATGTCAACCCTGAGTAAAATAATGGAATGGTTAATTCGGGACTGTATCAACAAAGAATTATATTTTTAGCCTCTAATTAAGGCTAGTCAGCATAGTTTCATGGAAGGTTGCTTCCCGCCATAGGCGTCAAATCTGTGAGTGCTCCAGTCCATGGGGGAAAAAAGTGGGTGCTCACTGACAGGAAATATCAGGACGCAGGGGGGAGGGGGGAGCAAAAAACAAACAAACAAAAAAGGCCGTTTTGCAGGTGCCGGGGGAATTAGCAGGCCCTGGCCGCGCCGTAGCCCTGTCCCCCCCAGGGCCCCTGGCACATGCCTCACGTCCCTCCGCCTGGCGGGGAATGAGCCGCTGGAGCTAGAGGTGCTCAGCTGAGGAGGGAGGGGTGGATGCTACCCCCCCTACAGGGGCAACGAACTGGCCGGGGTCCCCCCCCAAGCCAATAAACTTTACATGGCCACTCGTGCGGCCCCGAGCCGCTCTCCCCTGCTGGGGTGTGGAGCAGGAACTGGAAGCCGGCCACCACCCCCTCCCTCCAGGCTTGCTGCCATTACAGCAACAAGCCTGGGAGGGAGGAGGAATGCCACATGCTTGGGGAAGAGGCGGGGATTTGGGGAGGGAGCCAATGGGAGAAGGAGGGGATGGAGTCGGGGGGGGCGAGAGCCCTCCAGGGAGGGCAAAATTGCTTGTTTGTCCAGTGTCCCGACCGCACATTGGTCGGGACGCGGGACAAACAGGCAAATATTGGGACAGTCCCAATAAAATCGGGACATCTGGTCACCCTACCTACTGGTAGCCCTGTGGATCAGCTCCTCCCCCTTCCCCCCAGTGCCACCCACCCACCGGCAGTCCCTGCCGATCAGCTCCTCTCCTCCCTCCCAGTGCCTCCCCAATCAGCTGTTCAGCAGCATGCAGGAGGCACTGGGGAGGAGGGGGAAGAGTGGGGGCAGGAAGAGGCAGGGTGGGGGGGTGGGAGCCTGGGGGAAAGGGCAGGGCCTCGGGCAGAGCAGGGGGGGTTAAGCACCCCCTGGGAACTCAGGAAGTCGGTGCCTATGCTTTCCGCCCCCCTACTCAGATTACAAAGGCAATGTGTTGACAAGGATTTCTCCAAGGCATTTGAGTTGGAGGGAATGATTAAAGGATTATAAAACATGCCTTATAGTGATAGACTCAAAGAGCTGATGCTATTTAATTTAACATACAGAAGGTTAAGGAGTGACTTGATTAACGTATCCATATGGGGAACAGATGTTTAATAATGGGCTCTTCAATCTAGCAGAGAAAGATATAACACAAGCCAATGGTTGGAAGTTAAAGCTAAACAAATTCAGACCGGAAATAAGGTGATCGTTTTTTACATTTTTAACGGTGATCATTATTAACCATTGGAACAATTTTCCAAGGCTCATGGTGGATTCTTCATCACCGACCATTTTAAAATCAAGATTAGATGTATTACAAAAGATACGTTGAATTATTTTGAGGAAGTTCTATGGCCTGTGTTGTACAGGAAGTCTGACTAGTTGATTACAATGGTCCCTTCTGGCCTCAATATCTATGAAGCTCTGACTTAATACAATGTGACATTTTGTTTAAAAGACTTGCATTATGTGGCATTAACAGGGTACACATTAGATCAGTGGTTCTCAAACTTTTGTACTGGTGACCCCTTTCACATAGCAAGCCTCTGAGTGTGACAGCCCCCTTACAAATTAAAAACACTTTTGATTTAGTTGGGGATTGGTCCTGCTTTGAGCAGGGGGTTGGACTAGATGACCTCCTGAGGTCCCTTCCAACCCTGATGGTCTATGATTCTATGATTTAATATATTTATTATGACCTCCCCACCCCCATGTAATAACCTCGCAACCCCCTGAGGGGTCTGACCCCCCCCCCCAGTTTGGGAACCCCTACATTAGATAGATTGAAAAGTGGCTCACTGTCAGATCTCAGTTGCAAATGGGGAGATATCAGTGGGGTTCCCTCCAGGGATCAGTTCTTGGTTGAATGATATTTAATGTTTGTATCAACCATGATAATAATGATATAAAACATCTTGCTGGTAAAGTTTGTGGATAAACAGATTGGTGGGGTAGTGAAGGGAAGACAGGTTGCTATTTCAGATCATTTTGTATCACCTAGTTAAATGGTCACAATCCAACCAAATGCATTTTAATACAGCCAACTACAAGGTAAAAAGCAACAGAGGGTCCTGTGGCACCTTTAAGACTAACAGAAGTATTGGAGCATAAGCTTTCGTGGGTGAATGCCCACTTCATCAGACGCATCTCTTGCAGAGCAGGGAGTCGGGGTAGGTAGTCTATTTTCCATCTTCCTCTGAAACATCAGAGATTGGCTACAGCTGGAGATGGGACACCAGATAAGGGTGGACCTGTCCTATGAGGTGATACAGAGAATCCTTTTTCTAGATGCCTGGCTCGTGTGTCTTCTTCATATGCACAGAGTCATATTGATTGCTAGATTTGGGGCTGTGGCAGAATTTCCCTTAGTCAGAGCATGTGATTTGATTCACCTGCTGGGAGTAGCTGGGTTCATCCTGCCTAATCAATTCCCTGCCATTGCACAAGCCTTCGGCATTGGTGACAGCTTGGTCTCTCTGCTGTTCTCTGCCTGCGGACACAATTTAATCCCCTGAGGACTGAAATATTTTAGTCTAATTAAAAGTCTTTGTGCATACTATGGGGGCTCTAAGTGAAAATTACTAGCTTCTATCATGTTATACAGAAGGTCGGACGAGATGATTTAATGGTTCCTTCTGGCATTAAACTCTTTGAAATTATGATTTCCTACTTTTCTGTACTGTTTGTAGAATGAATGGAATAAGCCTTCTAGCATCTGGCTAGAAGGTTGGGGTTTTTTGGGGTGTTTGCACACGCCTGCGCAGAGGCTGCAATGGGTTAGAAAGCCAGTGGACCTTCCATTCAAAAAAGACACCTCCAGATAGATTTGAAAGAGGAGTTACCAAGGGAAGCGATTTCCTGGCTTTTCTGTAAGAAGGGGATTGGACTATGTAGAGATGGAGAACAATGAAGGTTGGTAGGATAGCCCTACATTTGGATAGTTCAGATAGAAATGTGAACTTCTGGCTATTTATCCAGCCATGTTAGGACCATTTTTGCTATGCTGGGATCAGGACACTATCTGATTGTACCAACAAAACAAAAAAATGTGCACGGAAAAGCTAGCTTCCTCTGCATGCTGGTGTATGCATTTTATTTTATTTTATTTTGAGAACCCTGCTCCCACTACCTCTGGTAAAGCTAGCACTGATGCCCAGATGGAAACTAGGAGCCTAAATACCTTTGAGGTTCTGTGCTTGATAGCCTGCAGCAAGACTGGCTCGAATCAAAAATTATGTACTCCTTCCAGATCAACTTTCAGATGCGGAGTAAAAGAAAAAGTAAAACTTTCAAACTGAAAGGCAGGAAAATTATTGTGGCGCTGTTGCCAGCTCTTCCTTAGGTTAAAGGAGAATCTCTATTTGTGTGTACTGACACACAAACTGATTATCAGATAAGATTCCTTTCTCAAAAAATATATCTACATAGCTAAAATACATTACATATTTGGATTCTCCTCTTATGGAATGTAATTTATTTTGGACAAATCAAATGTTTAAAAAATGTACAGTACAAGGCTTTTTGTTATGTTCTTACTTATGGAAAAAATAATACATTTTACATGGCTTCTAAGTGCAGGATTGGTCATGTAAAAAGTTGCCTTATGTTTATGTGCTGGATGTACCAACCCACAGCAAATGCGATATTTATGATGGATCCATGGATGATGTTGTTCTTGTACATGGAAGTGTACAAGATTGTCAACAACTGCAACCTTATTTTGCACCCTGTATTTTACCTAAAACTTGCCATCAGGTAAGAAGCATTATTCTTATAAAAAGTCTACAATCTGGAAAATAAAAAGTGACATCCTCAGAAATCTCTCTCCTCCACAAAATAATCATCAGAGCACCAAAAATAACAGGAATGTTACAAGATGCTTTCAGATTCTTAGAAAATAATGAGAGAGACTCCTCCTTTCAAGTAGAGAACATAATGTAAAGCACAGATATTTAATCAGAATCTTATTTGAATGTCTTGTATTGCCATAGCTGAGCTTTTGTTTGGGTTAGTTCAAACTCTGTTTGGAGACCAACTCTTTTTATATGAGCGATTTACAAACGAAAATTATTTCAAATTAATCTGGCAAATCACAACACAAAATTGAGGAAACTAATGTCCATGCTACAATGAAAACACTAATGCAACTTTAACTCTAATGCTCCTGCTCCACCATACTTACTTAATAATTGCCATGCCATAGGTAAAATTCCGAACAAAAACACTAAATTTTGTAACAGTTAAGATAGCTGGCAGGTACAACCAACCCAAACATAAAAAACCCTATGAAATCCAGAGTGATATCAAACACACTATACAGCAAGGGCAGGTTTTCATCTGGTCTCATTCAGTATTCATGTATATCATCTACAGCAAATGGTCAATCAAAATGACATTAACTCTGGCTCTAGAATGTTATCTTACAATTCTAATTTTTATCCCTTTCTTATCTACAGCCACAACCTTGTTTTAAAAACCGTTGATTCACACAATTAAGGATTTTCATGGTCACATCTCTACTTTTAATGATGTGTTATTTTTTATATCTAATAAGAGTTCTAAGGGATATACTATACTATTGCTGAAGTTATCTTTAATTTTGGCTTTTAATTAGATCTTTCAGCATGCTATTTATTCATTAATTAAAGCTTGTCTTTTTGCAAGGCTAGAATTTGCAGAATGTCTGAACAACCAAGAGTAAAATATTCCAGTGTGCTTGATCACTGATAATTTCCAACTTGTTGCTGCAAATGAAGAAAATTGCTTGGCTTTTCATATATTACTCTTGCTGACTACAGGGGGCAGTAGTTAAAGTAGTTTTGGTTGGATGCTTGTTTATAAGTGTAATCGATTATGTACGTGAAGATAGTGCTTTTTATAAATTGTTAATCGGCTATGATGTAGTCTGTGATAGAATTTGTTGTATTTGAGCACAATATAACTATTGCACTGGGATCGCACTGGATTTTTGTTTAAGTGCTACACTATGCAATTATGAATATAAAGATGCATCCATCAAGTTACATTAAAGTTTAATTTAAAAATTCACTTAGAAATATTTATTTCAAGTTTATAAAATATTTTTATAAAAATATAAAATATTTTAAACTATACAACATATATATTTACTATTTAAATACTTGCCTTTAAATGCTAATATTTAGATGTGTCACAAGTATCAACTTTGAAAAATAATTTGTTTCTAAAGTGGCTACTACACAATGGTTCAGGAAATGTTGTAGGATTGTTTGTTCTGATTAATTCTTTCACTGTGTTTTTTAACCATCCTAATATTTAACACCAGTGATTTGTGTTTTCTTCTCATTTCAATATTTTAATTTTTTTTAATAGATTGTGATATAAAATCTGCCACCTTCTTACTTCGAACATATTAAAATCTTGTTCCTGTTTTCGTTTTATTGTCAATTTAATTGTTGTATAGTATGGCTCATATTTCTTTGGTATGTGCTCTAAATCTTAACTTCAGTTAGAGAAAGTTTTTTGTACGGGATTTTTTTTTCCCTGATTGCATGTACTGTAGAACCCAAAATCTTTAGAGGGGGGCATGTGAGCCAAAACACTTTGCAGGGCATTGAGACCCAAGGAACATTGTGGCACTGAAGAGCTCTGCATAACACTGGGTGCTTGGCTCCCCAGCCAGGAAACCTTTTCAAGTCAGCTTCCCACTCTACTCCCCAGCCTCCCTTTCTTCCCCACACACCATACCTTGATTCTTGCTCCTTCTGGACTTTTAATGTCCACAGGACCTATCGGCAGACTTTAGTGAGTCAGCAGGCACTACAACAGCTCCTACAGCCTTTAAAGTCTACATGGACTAAAAAAAATGGAACTAAGAGGAAGGATTGAGGTATGGCACCTGGGAGAGCTATGAAGTATGCGGCAGGTGACTCAGGCAAGAAAACTGTATGCCCAGGAGAGTTGCAGGATGTGGTAGAACCAAGGAAAACTTGCAGAATTTGGGAGCTCAGCAGGCATGCTGAGCTAAGGGCAGGGAAGAAATATTGAGGAACTTTCGATACCTGTTGGGTTACATGAAGTTTACAAGCTTAAATATTTAGCTCTGGGTTTGAAGCTGCTGGAGCAATCAGTGTTTAAGAATTAACTATACTTTGCTGAAACTGCGTGCATGAGATATTTAAAGGTTTAATGGTTATACTATAGTTTATGGTTTAAAACTAGATCTGACAAAAGGGACAGAAGGGGTGAATTTCAGATGTTTCAAACATGGATTGGGTCACTAGTAAAAATAAATCAGGTAGTCTTGAGTCTAGCTGTTTATGCCTCAGACATGTGAAGTCCGACACATAATTTGACAAAACGCAGTATGATAAGCAGTATGTACTACAGAAAGGATGAGGACAGGTTGCTGCAAGACAGAAGTGAGGTGCAGTGAATGGGTTTTGTAAGGAGGATTGTAGTGGTGTGGTTTCCTATGCTAAGTTTTGGTTCTGGCAATATTTTAGTAACAAAACTGCTAATTATACCAACTACTACCACTATGGAGAGGAAAAGTAGTAGAAGATGCAGTAATGTGGATCAATATAATTCATCTCATCGGAGACAGGGTGAGGAAGAGTCTCTCTCTCTCTCTCACGTGCATGTAATACTTTAAAAATGTGTAAAAATGCATGATATTTAGCACTTAATTATCTAGACTAGTTGCAGCTACATTAGGAATTGGAAGTAGAATACTCCTGGTAACGTACCAAAACAAACCATTTTCAAGAGGCATCTAGATGGAAAAAGTATTAAAATTAAGTAACTATAACTCCCTCTCTCCCCACCTGCTTCAGTCAAATACAAGTTTTTGGTTTGAACAGAGGTAACTGAGGGCAGGTCTACATTACTGCTAAAGTCGATCTAACCTATGTCACTCAGGGGTGTGAAAAAGCCTCTCCCCCATCTCACCAAGGTGGAGTAATTATGCCAATAGGAGAGCACTCTCCCATTGGCATAGCGTCTTCACCAGACGCACTACAGTGGCGCAGTTGTGCCAACGTAGCACTGTAGTGTACACTTACCATGAGTGAAATTCTATGGCCTGCATTGAATGGGGGACAGACTGATGATCTAATGGTCTCTTCTGGCATTATGCTATGCATCTGCCTCCGAGCCACCCTTCCACCATTCTATATCTGCCATCCATGAAGAGGTAATCTGTATTCTAGCAATTCTTAACTTTTGAGTGAATGATCTTTCAATATTAATTGTACTTTTTTTTTAAATTGTAATGTTCTAGGTTTTTAAAAAACAACCAAATTCTACTATGTGCATCTGTAACAAACCCCTCCCTCCATAATGTGTCACCAGCAGGGATCTTCTCTAGGAAGTAGCCAATAGAACGGGAAGTGTAATACACAAATAGTAGGTACATGTGTAGGAGTAGCTACAATCTAACAGTTAGACAGTCTAACCCAGGGGAAAAAATTGTCAGACGGCGTGGTTAAGTGGCCGAGACTTGTCTGCCATATTAGAGATCTGTGTTCTATTCCCAGCTTGTATAACCTCTCAATGGGGGATGAGCCCTTATTCATTCTCTTGCTTGTCTCTGTGCTACCCTGAGTTAGAGCACCAGTGATGTGCTGAAGTGACACATCAGGGACCAGTGTATGTGCAGTGTACTATAAAGTTGAGGATTTTGGCAGGAAGTAAACAAATTACTATACAAACTACACATGGAAAACGTGAAGATGACAATTACAAAGGACTCATGAGTCTATACCAAGGGACTAGCCTAGCATGGACATAACTATGTACCATCTGTTGCCAGCAAGGGACACACTGCCCTCTATAACACCCCCACCCCCCAAAAAAAATTTTACAATTGAAGTTGAATAGATTGTTTTTATAGTATCGCTAATACAATATTTTTTGCACATACAGTTACCATTGGAAATATTGTGGAAACAGATGGTAGCAGTCATCATTCACTATGCTCAGATTCTGTAAGTTTGAAACATACCAAATATAAATCTGTTTTGAAGTGAGCACTTTCAATTTAACCTTAAGAATACTGTACAAGACAAAAGACAAGAATGTTCACTGTAAGGGGATTATACTTATTTTTACATTTCCAAAAGTGGTCATCACAAATATCTGAGTGAATGTAGAGGAATAAGACAACATAGTGACTAAGAAAACAAAAAGATTGTTGCCCTCTTTAATATTTAACTATATAGTGTAATAGCTACATCCCTCCATTCCTTCATCAGGCAAAAGGCTGAGAAAAGAGATGTGCTTTGCATCATGCCTTGAGTCAGTAGACTCTGGCTCTGTTAGTAAATATCCAAACTGAGGGTCCTCTCGTAGGAATTCCTCAGCTCCAGACATTCCAGATGTAGAGATTTTTTTTAACCAGTGTCTAAGTTGTCTTCATCTGCCATTGTATATATATGGACAGATGAAGAGAGAATTAACACTAATTCTATAGTAAAAAAAA